TATGTATATATATATATATATATATATATATATATATATATATATATAGAGAGAGAGAGAGAGAGAGAGAGAGAGAGAGAGAGGCAGTCAAATGTTATAACTAGAGAATCAGCTACAGTTTCTCTAATATTTTCTTAGATAATTCTTTGTAGCATTTGTTTCAATTGTAAATGACAAGTTCTTATTAAACAACTAAATGACTGTTACAAGATTTACCACTAATTACGAAGCATTTCTTCCAGAAATATTGAGAATGTAGAAAAAATAAGTGAAGATGTATTAACAATTCAAGCTTTATGGGGAAAAGTGAACTACTAGTTTCTTGTGAGAGCATTTCCCCAATTGGTCTAATGAAACTAAATTCTGCCAACCCCCTGTTGCATTACTGTCTCAGTTCTACCAGAAATCAACAGATGCAACCATTTGAAGCTGAACAGAAGTGTGCCAATACTTGATCCTTTTAGCTATATGCCAGACTGCTGTTTATGAAAATAAAAACCGGAAAGGCACTGAAGATAGAACAGGACTAGTGTTTCCTAAAAAACAATAAGACAATAAGATCATCCCTAAAAAAGTAAGTTGAGAAAGCTTACCCATGAAACGAGATTTTGTTCTGAATGTGATTTGGTGCTTTCAACAGCCTTCCGTCCGGTAATCAACTCTAATAGTACAACTCCAAAGCTGTAAACATCAGACTTAACTGTTAGTTGTCCAGTCATGGCATACTCTGGAGCACAATAGCCATAAGTTCCCATCACCCTTGTTGACACGTGAGATTTATCACCAACCGGACCAAGTTTTGCGAGTCCAAAATCAGAGAGCTTTGGGTGGAAGCCCTTATCTAATAGGATATTGGAGGATTTCAAGTCTCTATATATAACAGGAGGGTTGGCTTTGTCATGGAGGTACTCCAATCCCTTGGCTGCCCCAGCTGCAATCTTCATCCTTGTATTCCAATCAAGTGGTTCCTTATCAGGTGGAAAGTCTGAAGATAAACAAAAAGGTAGGTTATTTATGACATCTCTACCTATCTAGTAAATCACTAAAAGCTAATCATCCAAAACTAAAAGATACAAAGTATTGTCCAGAAGCTCATATCTATCACTAAGATGGCTGAAAATTAATAACCTATTTAATCATCCGAGTATGTGGATGTATGCCTTCTGGTTTATGCACTTGCTGAACATACAGGTTGACTAGATTCCCATCCTAGTGACAGCCGTACAAAGAAACCATAAACATTTGAAACAAAAATAGTTTTCCTAGGATTTCCATTATATGGCCAAACAAAAATCAACTAGCGTTTAACAAGTAATTAGTGAGTATTTAAAATGATAATTGAAGTGAGTATTTAGAACATCGATTGTGTTGGTGATAAAGAAAATGGTTGCACATAAAAACACCATGCAGATGTGAGAAATGAGTGGGAAAAGCAAATGAAGGTTGATGTTCAAAATTTGTAAAAAAATGTACAAATGCTCCTTGTGTGGTTTCGTGTTGAAAGTGGCCAAATATGAAAATTTTTTGCTAACACTTGAAGGTTGCAATAGGCATGCATATGAACGTAGAAAGTCCAACTCTTCCCTTTATCCCATAGTATGGCTACCAGGTATGCACTTGAGAAACTTGTGATATCTGTCATTGACAGGCCTCAAATTTCTTGGCAAATAGCTTGTTGGTTTGTAATTAAATAGAACAATTTTTACAACATAATAATATGAAAAAAATGATTTGTGTTTCATGTGAATATTTCTTACTCTATTATTTTTCCCATAACCAAACCTTTTTACCTTATACAAATTAGTGCTGAATGCTAAATTCTTTTGACTATCATATAGCCTACAGATAATACAAAGTTGATTTGCATGGAAGACTATGAATCTTTATAGATGTTCATGGGAAAAGTGAACACACATGGAAAATACAGTTATTATGCAGACAATTGGCATCCCCCACACGAATGAGGACCAGAGACCATTGATAAGCAAAGAAAATGTTAATTAACTCAAGAAGCTTATAGAAAGGACCAAGAATCTCAGCAGACTAGGAGTAATTTCACATAATATCTCCTGATGCTATAAGCCATTTTGACTATTTTGATTTCTTTTCCAAGATAACCTTGAGCTCTTTGAAAGGAACAAGAATGAGCCCAACCATGAATTTTGAAATTTCATACTTAATTGAATGTCACATGGCTCTAGCTAGCTTTGGGTTCACACAAAGAAGAAAAAAATAACAAACACAGAGGGGATTCTGCATAAGAATGTCATGATTGATTTAGCAAAAATAAATCTAAATAAGGAACATTGTACTGAAAAAAACAGAAGAACCATATTTTGTGATGGACTACCATGAAAACTCATACCATGTAGATGATCTTCCAATGATCCCAAGGGCATATACTCATAGACAAGAAGGCGTTGGTCTCCATCAGCACAATAACCAATTAGATTCACGAGGTTGGGATGATGCAACAGGCTAAGCATGAGGACCTCCACTAGGAACTCCCTGTTGCCTTGGAGTCCATTCCTGTCAAGCTGTTTTACAGCCACAACCTGCAGGCACATACAGACATTCATCCCCATAAATATGAAGATACAGGTCCAATCTCCAAGTGTAAGAAACGTTAACTTTATGCAGTTATAATTTCATATTTCATGATTTTTCTCGTTCTGAGCATTGCAAGAATTCCAATTTCAAAACTTCAGTGAGGCTTTACATACGCTGATGAAACTTTAGTCAATCCTCAAGCATGAAGCAAAAACTGATTGACCACACAAAAAAGACTATACACTTGAAAAACTACCTGACCGGTAGTTTCCAGACGACCTTTGTAGACGCGTCCAAACCCTCCTTCCCCGAGCAAAGACTCTGTTCTGAAATTACTGGTCGCGGCCGATAGCTCCGAAAAGGTGAAAGTCTGTGCCGAAATAGAAAAATCAGACCCCTCTATTGCGCCCAATGATTCCCTTTTTGTACTCAAATCTCTGGCGGTTTTCATTCTATCATCTCCTGCAAATTAATGAAACAGCGTGTCAAAGTTGAATAGGAGGAATTTTAGGTAAGACAAGGGATCATAGTCACAGAGTCAATCTGTAGAATAGCATCTCAGCAACATATTCATCAACATATTCATCATTTGATCGAATGCAACTCAATGAACTTGGGAATTGATCAGATTCAAATGAACAAAAGTCTCCAAGGTACCCATGAACCCAATTAAACTGTAGAATAGCATCTGAGAGTTAGATGAGTCCAAAAAGATGTGGCAAGATTGATCTCATATGGTCTGAGATAGAGCTACCAAAAGTTCAAGTTTCCATCTTTACACATAAAGCAGCAAACGCGCATCGCACCTTATTCTTTCCTTTGATCTTCGAGCTAAAAAATAGGCATAGACACTTGACTTAAACTAAAACACGAGAGACGAGAAAGCATTCGTGTGTTAGTCGTGTTTCTTAGCATCAAACAAATAAATCAAAAGATAATACGGAATTCAAAGCTCATCAGCTACGGATCCCATCCCCCAATCATCGAATCGCAGAAGCTCAAGGTTACCAGAAGACAACTTCTCGACGCGAGGCGCCACCATCGGCCGCTCCTCTCTCGTGCGATCGCACTCGTTCCCATGGCTGAGCTGCGCTTCCTCCTCCGACTCGAAGCAGGGGAAGCAACCCATATCGCCAAAGATTCAAACTTGCTCAACGATGACCGCAAAAGATGGGATTTTTCATCGAGATCACTCGACCACTGCTCTATTTCGACGCGATCACCGCATCAAATGTTTCGGTGGCAGATCCAATCAGACGTGATCCGGAGAAAGGAGGAGTTAACCATGGGGAGAAGAGGCATGAAATGATAGAGTGGGGAGTGGGGAGGTGCGGAAGCCGCCCAAAGCTTCGGCTGCATCCGCAGGTACTCATGGCCATTGTTAATATAATGGATCAGCTTTTGGTGGCTGGTGATATGGAAAGCGGATGTGGATTGGAAATGGGGGATGTCGATTCCTTCCATTGTCTCCTTCCTGTCTCAGATCATTTTTAGAGAGAGTGGTCAATCTATCATTCCTCTGACGTTGACACCCCCTCCCCCCTTCTATTTCTTGCCTTCCTTCCTTCCTTCCTTCCTTTTCCAACATATTTCTTACTAATATTTATACTATTAAATAATTATCCTTTAAAATATTTTATGAATTAGATTTTCAAACATATATATATATATATATATAGTTATTGATTTTTATTTATTTCTTTAAATTTAAGTTTAGTAGGCATATCTTGTAAAATTCACAAAGCTAACATACATATCCTCGAAATCGATGTCCCCCATTTATTATTGCAAGCTCTATTATCATATAAGAATTTTAAAGGTTTTCTTAATGTATTTGTATATTTTAAATATTTTGATTCAAATTAGTAAGCAATAGCGATGGCTAATAATTGTTAAAGTGAGTTTTCTTTGGATAATTGAAAACACCTATTCATAAATTATTTTCTGACTTGCCTCCTTTCCAACATAAAATTACTGTATGCTTAAACTAATATATCGTGTAACCAAATATCAGTATATGATAATAGAAAGTAAAATATTTAATTACAACATTTGAAATTTAGGTAATATCAATATAAAATATAAAATCATAGTAGCCATAAATAATATATTATATAAAATAATAACACAAAATAAAAGTATCATTTTAAGATAATAAACAAAGTTTAGATGGTTTATTTTAATTAAATGCTGATTTAGATGAATCATCATATGCATATTAAAAAACATTAGATTATATTTGAACTAATCATAAATGTTACCCTTCGTATATAGAGAGAGATATATGCTAAGCCTAAATTAAGAGATTAAATATGATCGGTTTCCAAAGAATATATAATATTATTTTTTGCTTCATATAGTAAGTTTCAGGTAGAAAACTTACTTTTGTGTTCTCAAAGGATAAACGATAAAAACGGATTTTGATCATCAAATTTTATCGGATAAAATATTATTATTTTCACTTTCTAGAAGAGAAGATGGTAGAGATGATTGAGGTGGTTGATGACAAAAGTGTCTGTAGTCCTCATAGAGTATGATAAAAGGGACTGTAAAACGAAAAGAATCTTCGAGTTTAAGTTATATTTTGGATCATAAATTGGAAATGTAGAGCTATCATACTCTGATGATGGTTGGATTAAGATCAATTGCTTTTAAGGAAGGAAGAAGAACATGAGACGGAGACTTGTGTGTATCCAAGAAGAAGTATATATATGGATGGAGATGCATTAATGCTTTCCATCGGTTTTAGAGAGTTATGAGTTACTAAACCTCGCAAAACAAGGAAGACGGGGAGACAACACGAAGGCCCACCCCACCCAACCTTCCCCCATTGATCCTTACCATGCTAAAGACAGGCAAAAGATGGGCATCATTCCATATCCATAAGCTGTTTCTTTGTTACTACAAAGACATGCAGTCGACTAGCAATGAAGGATTTGCTGGATATATTGAATCTTGCCATGTCCAGAGAGCTTTAGAAACCGTCAACCAGAAGCAAAGTTTTCTTTTCCTAGGATTCCATTTTGCTATCATCTTTACCATCTAAACTTTCTTCTTTCTTTGGTAAAGATGTACGATAAAGTTGTTTGACATTTGCTCCTACAACTTTACTATCAGCTAACATAGTTGGCATCCGACAGTAAAATCTTAGATGTAGATTTATCGGATGAGATTTGAAACCCTGTGTCTTTTTTGTAAGTAGGTAAATATATCTCATATACTACACTAAACTGTTCCTTCATCTTCTATCGACAAGTTGTACATATATCCAGATTCCACATGGAAGCCGAATTGTTTGTAGCAGTTGTCGGCATCCACCCCAACTCTGAGAATTGAGGCCACCTGCTCTGTTCTGTCCTGCTCTGCTCTGCTCTGTTCTGCTGCAACCTTTGAGTAAGGACGAGGAAAACATAAAGGTGTAGCTTTCGGGAGCTCGGCACGTGCACACGTGTGCCAGCATGCGTGTAAAGATGAAAGCTTGACGTGGTGTCGATGCAAAGAGACCGGCGTCGAATCATTTCGGCTTTGGCATCTCTTCTTCCTTTGGGTCGTATTGGCGTCGTGTCATTCTTTGCACGACGGAGAAGACTGCGCACTTGTCGTTCCTCTTCTTTTAGTGTCAATCAAACCCGTAAAGCACGAGCGGAAACACGCTCGACTCTATATCATGTCAGGGCTTGCCATTGATGATCGACGGCTTCAATCATCGAGAGCTTGAAATCAATTCGAGTCCACCGTCCCATCTCATCATACATTTAGGTCGAGAGAGAGAGAGAAAAGAAATTTCTTTTTGGAAGATTTCATAAGAAATATTAGTAGGAGTATATCCGATATATATATATATATAAGATGGTAGAACAGAAAATTCATCGAAAACACATGATAAAATTAACATGATAAAATTGAAATGATACAGAGAAAATTAGTATAATCACATTAAAAAAAATGATTGATTTTATGATTGTGTTAATTTTTACTCTTTTAGGATTATAAGTGATTATTAATGATTTTTTTTGTTGATTTTAGGTTTAATGAAATCATCGAGTGACGTATTGAATGATTATAAACGGTACAGATTTTATCGATGTAAATAATAATTTAATATTTTTAATATCCTCAAATGTTATATCTTGGATGGGTTTTGATTGTGGAGGAACAATAATTTTTTATTTAAGATAGATTCACACGAATATTATTTTGGTGGTGTGATACAGGTGGCACACGTATATACTCTATATTTAAATTATTTCAAATAATTTAAAGAACATGTAGTAAATTTTTTTTGTAAGGAGCTTGATCGTCGAAGCTAAGCGGGAGGTTAATTTATGAAATGATAATATGGAATCATTGAATGATAAAAGAATTTGTTGAATTATTGAATGATATAATTGTCACACATAAACTAATAATAATGAGTTGAGGCTCATCACATAATTAGACATCCAAGATGACATCGATTAAGCCAGTGCTAAGACATGAATGATATCATTTTTATGTTCCACATTGAGAAAAATTTCTCTTACGCTTTGTTTGCTAACTTTCTTGATAAGCCTGAAAATTATTTTTATATTTCGATCTATATTTTTTGTATATTAATATTATTTATACAATACACCATAAAAGACTTAATAAACATTCCATTTGGAGCTTTGGTTGTATGAGATCGTCGAAGTAATAAATTTATTTGTTTATTGAAAAATAAAATGTTAGATTGCGACATTAATACTCATATTTAATGTGTTATCTCTTGTCTTGATTGTGACGTGATGGACTCATCTAATGAGATGTAAGTACCACTGACAAAGTAGTATATGATGCAACTCGAGCTGATGGCTGCACCATTAGAGATGGGCTCTCAATGAACGGCACAACACAAAGGGAACCATCAGCCCAAAGATTACTACATCCACAATCTCAAGAAGCTTTTATCGAAAGATACCTTATTAATCCCTATTTACGAAGAAGAATTCATGTCGCGTTGAGTCATTTGATTTCATCCAAAAATAATCTTTTCCTATCAAACAAACATATCTAACAAACATATCAAAATGTTGACTATCAAACAAACATATCTAACATTAGAATAGCTGAAATATAATAAAATAAATAAAAATTTAAAGTACAAAGCAAATAGACAAAGGGATGGAGGAGAAGGCGAAGGACAACTCACAGTGCAAACGCTGTTACACGCTGTTACACGTCGAGGAGCTCTTGTTGCAAATGGCATTATCCCCATCTTCTATTTTGTCACCCATGGCGTCCGGTAGCCCGCTTTGCCCGTCCACGCACTGCCCACCGAGCAACGCAGACCACCCGTGACAGGCGTCCCCCTCTTTGATATCCCTCATAAAAGGCCGAAAAGGACCTTCACATGTCTTTGTCACATGTCTTTATCGTTTCCTCCCGGCATCCGCGAGCAGAGTCTCCTAAAAGGCCACCATCAAATCTCCGGCGTTCCCTCCTACCTCTCTCACCATGAATTCTACCGCTTTCGTCCTTGTGTTAGCGCTCCTTCTCGCCACATCCCTATGCCTGGAAGCTGATCCGAGTCCCATCTCTAATGTCACCGTAATGGGCACCGTCTTCTGCGACGCCTGCGCCAACAATGTCTTCTCCGAGCACAGCTACTTCTTAGCAGGTAAAAGAACTCCGAGGCTACACCGTCACCGCGTTATTTTCCTCCGACTGAGAGTGTAGTGCGCTTTCAGGTGTCCGAGTAAGAGTGCAGTGCATGTTGAGAGTGACGAATTCCACGTCCAGGGAGGAGATGTCGATCACGGTGGACAGAACGACGGACAAGTTCGGGGTGTACAAGCTCGACATCCCGCCGGTGGAGGGGTTCGAGTGCAGGGAGGGTGTGGTGATGGACTCCTGCTGTCGAGCGAGCCTGCTCGGGAGTCCGTCTTCTCTGTGCGATGTCCCCGGCTTGAATAGCTCCACCGGGCACGTGGCGGTCAGAGGTGGGGAAGGCAAGCGCTGCCTCTACAATCTGAACGCGCTCAACTACAGGCCATCGAAGAAGGACGCCAACCTGTGCGGCACCGGTAGCGGGCACTACTTACCTGCCTCTGTGAACTCCTCTTTGTTCCTCTGGCCGCCTTCGCCTCCGTCTGGGTTCCCCTGGCCGTCGCCTATGCCTTACCCGTTTCCACCCCTGCCATTCCAAACTCCGCCACCGCCATCTCTCCCTTGGCCGTTCCCTCCTCTGTTTCCGACCCCACGAACACCAACTTTTCCTTTGCCCTTCCCCCCAGCACCGAACCGACCGCCATCGCTGCCTCCAATACCACCTATTTTTCCTTCACCAACGCCGACGTCTCCATTCCCTTTTCGATTCCCACCCTTCCCTCCCTTTACTCCAATGCCACCTCTGTTTATGCCACCTTCTCTTCCTCCACCTGGATCTTTTCCTTTCCCATTTCCTCCATTCCCTCCTACTACCACAACCTCTGGAGCGCCTTCCTCATCTTCTCCCTAAGAGATCCAAGAACATGGTTTCCCTCCCCCCCCCCCCCCCTCTCCCACCCTCCATCCTCCTCCGGACAGCCATGAGACCGACATCCATATATAATTCACCTTTATTGGCATAAAAGCTATTAAACCCCACTTATTGTATAAGTATTGTTTATATTGTCAAAATTATGCAAACACTACATATGACATGAAAGTTTTAGATCTCGCTGTTCGATTTGATTTCTTTTTAATGGTGGAAAAAAGCACTGAGTATGCTGCATTGGAAACTTCATTCATATTGACGGCTAGATGATGAGCGTATACGGCACTCATACAAGCTAGCTTGTTCTCATGTAAATATTATCCATATAATTAAGTATGCATATCGTATAGAAGAAGTGTATCAATAATAACCTAATCGGTCCATCTGGTTCTAATAACTGTGGGATCAACTACAGCTTAATTTTAAATTGCAAGCAATTTTTGCGTGCTCACAGATGCTTCAATATTCTAAATCATGCATCAGTCTTTTTCTCCAAAAGGAACATGCATGGATGGATGGTCATCAATTTGCACCGAAGCCTACCTCCCGAGCTTTAGACTTCCTCGCCGCCGCCACCTACACCACCAACCCACTAGTCTTTCCTCTCACTTCCAAGGATGCGCAAAGTGTGGTTTTAGTCCTGAAGCGCTTTCTGACGACACTAATGCTTCGTCTTCCTGCCCACCGCCCCTCGAACAAGCTCCCTTTGTCTGCTGCATGCGTCAAAGCAAACACTAAAGGTGGTGATTAGGAGCAATTAGTGAGAGCACTAATTATATGGCCACACAAGAAGGCAACAGAGGGCCACAGCAACACATCTTTGGCGACAGCAATCATCCGCTTGTCTCCTGCAATGTAGATAGATGAGCAATGACTGGTCACCTCCAAGTTTTGGTCTTCTACGGCGAAGATATGTGGAGGAAGCATGAGAATGATGAGGATCATGAGAACGTTCGTCTATACTTGCTATATTCTAATGAGCAGATGGAACGCAGTAATCACGAGAAAAGAAAGCCTGATGTTAATACATCTGATCCCTCATGTATATGTGTGTATTAAAAATTATTTATTTATGACAAAAGATGATATGGGCTGCATTTGGTTGCTTTTCTAAATCATTGGAATTGATAAAATTATTTTATTCAGTCTGAATTGAGATCAGACGAAAGCACTTAATTTCTGCACAAACCGACTTCGACATGAAATCAAATATTCACCTTCTGGTTTGCTAAACTTCATTTGCCTACGATTTCGAAGTAGTTCTCTTTTGGCTATGCTGCCTGCCTTCTTGTGAAGGACAAACGAGACTCGTGTATTTACTCTATGGGAAAAATTTCAATTTGAGTGGTATATATATAAGTTGAACAGCGATAGATCTTTCGATCAAAATTGCAAGGCGATCTTGTTTCCTCGTTCGAAATTCTGATGGATTCTGCATTTTTATTAGATGCAGTTTGGTTGATGATTCAAGCTATCTATCCTGTGATGCAGATGGCATCAGTGAAGGACTTCGGAAGGCTTCACTGGGGAATATTTAGTTCATTCGTATCGAGGAGGTGGACTCCAACATAGTTTGGTTGTTTGATCAATATAGTTCTCTTCTCTCTCTCTCTCTCTCTCTCTCTGGTTGTGAGTTGTATCCATTTTGCTTGATTAATGTAGTTTTTTTTCTGAAAAAAATAAAGAAAAGATAGTGCAATTCCTTGGATTCCTTCCATTGTTGGGGAATATATATATATATACTTGGATGATACATCTTTTGTCAATAAGATGTATACTGTGTGTTCACTTAGATGCCATCTCTAGTGCAATTAAACATTCACAATAAACTAAATCAATGAGCAGCAACGATAGGGAAGAAGAGCCAAAGACATATATCAGTAATCTATCACTTGTGTCAGAAAGTCTATACAGGAGAGAGCGACAAGCTCATGTCTCTCCCTCTCTCTCCCCCTCGCTCTCGTTGTGTAAACCTATAGAAGTCTGCGGCAGAAAACGGGAAGAGACAGTAGGGTTGAACAAAAAGTAGAAGTTGGTCGGCACCATCGGCTGCTAAAATGGTATGAAAAAGAGGGGGAAAAAGGAATCGTAATGAAGCTTCGTGGCGAGGCCTTTTCACATGGTTTAGGAGGGGACGCAGGTGGCGCTGGAAACGGAGAGAGGGTAGGAGAAGGAGTTGGCGTATTGGAAGGAGATGGAAGCTCCCGGGGCGAGGGGACGGCCATCGTTCACGAGACAGTCGTTGATGCGGAGGCGGCGGAAGATGCGGGGGTTGATGAGGCGGGTGGAGCTGAACGCGCCACAGCTCAGGTGGATCTGTCCCATGGCGCAGCCGTTTCTTGACGAGCAAAGGTTCAGCACCGTCACCGTGTACGTCGGGATCCCGCTGGGCAGCGGCGGCGTCGCCCCCTGGTTCACCTCGATGTCGTCCACGCTGCACCGGTCACCCATGCGATCCGTCGACCGGGATGCAGACGCAGACGACGACGACGACGACGACGACTTGGCGCCTGTTATATAATTTGTCACGACGCAATTAGGCACATCAGATCACCAAAAGCGTGAAACTAAAAGAAACCGATCCGACGGTTCGGAGATGGCCATCCGTCGAACTCAACCGTTCGATATTCGATTACGGTAGCTGAATGAAAGCAGCAATACCTGCGTCGACTTGGAGAAGCTTGCGGTTGGAAACACTGACGGAGCGGAGTTGCTGGAATCGGAATCCGAACCCGAACTGTCTTCCATCCACCCGCGGCCAATAACACCCTGCATGAGGAGAAAATACAATTAATAGAAAAATATATAAAATCAAATAACGAGCAGTAGAAAACAAGATGGAGATCCCGTCAAGAATCAGAAGAATATTCCGTAGCGAACCGTTCACGCAATTTACCAACCCGGCATAAAATATTTTATTCCGGAATAAAAAATGACAGAGCTGGTAGAATGGTTTCACACGTACCCAAGGTGAGCAGAAGCAGGAGTGCCACGACCGAAGCCGTAGCCGACGCCGCCGCCACGGCCATTCGCCGCCCAGAGACGCCTCCCCTTCTCCGCTGATCTGGCGACCGAGACCCTGCCCCAAGCATCGTCTTCTTCTTCGGTCTACGGAGGACGAGTGAGTGTCACGGCACCTCGAGCTCGCTCCAAGCGATAGAAACCCCTATTTTCTTGATCTTTTTCCCGCTTTAGTAACCCTCGGAGAGCTGTTCGCTGCTGCAGCAGAAAAGGGAGGCGGCAAGAAGGCGCCAGGAATCAGCAGGGTGAACAAGACCATCTATCAGACAAGTATAAGATGGAGAAACGATTTGACTTGGAGTCTCGGGCGTGGAGCCAGGAAACAGAAGAAACAGGCAGCGGGGATCGATTTCGATCAATTCCATCGCTGCCTATGATCTCCGAAACAGGAAAACGGAGCTCCTCCCCCAAATCTTCTCGTTTCGGGCATGTAGCCTCACGACTCACCGAGGGTTTGTCCCCGATACCACGCACAGAGGAGGACAGCTCTCCAGGATCGACAGATTAGCACGAGAGCGGCAAAAAAGGAGGGGGCACAAGACTGGTCCCCGCAGTCGCAGCTCACCCGGTCTAGATAAGCACCGCAAGAAGCGTAGAGCATAAAGGAGAAAAAAAGGAGGGTTTTTTTGGGGAAATATCGAACCTTTGGGGCACACGGGGAAGGAGCAATCGCCGTCAGGAGGCGTGCCAGCGATCGAGGGCGAGGCGAGAGTGAGCGAAGAGCGTTGCTCTCTCTCTCTCTCACACACAGACACACAGACACACAGACACACAGACACACAGTGCAAAGACAAGAGTACAGATTGTGGCCTGCCAGGAGGTGGGTATTTATAGGGATGCATATACCCTTGACAACTATTTTGGTAGACTTTGGGAATGGGTCTAATATAATTCGGATTCGGATCACGAAGGTAGACCATGGATTTGGATCCATGCGAGTGGATCTAATACGATTTGGATGAGCAAGGTAGACATCGTCCTTTTGAGTTGCTAGATTGCATGCATGCATGGCATTATTATTAGGAGTAGTCGATGGACATGAACCCACTTCTCTATGATAGAAAACGACTTGTACCTAATCACCGCTGTTGCTCAAAGGAACATGGACACCAAAAAGCCTAATGCCTCAGCGTCCTCGCCACTAACCCACTAATCCTACTCCTAAAGATGTGCAACGTGTTAAAAATGACGATATATTTGCCATAAATTAAATGAATATTTTTTAGAATAACATTACATTATACAATGGAAATTTTATATGATATGATGTAGATACCTCTTATATCAAGGATTCTTTATATATAATGTAAATCTACTGTGAAAAATATTGACATTACAGAAATGCATTTTATATAATTTAAAAAAATATTATTTAAATTAATTTAGATCATTTATATATTCCTATAAATTTTAGGATCTAGGATTTAGAGTTTGTAATTTAGAATTATCTACATTGACTTAGATCATCTTTCTTTTCGATATATATATATATATATATATTTAAAGACAAAGTGTGATTAAATCACGGAGCCAATTGAGACGACACTCATGATTCGTCCTTCTACCCACCATCTCTTAAATAAGGTAGGACTCCATGTCAGTTCATACAAGAGGACAACGTATCGGTGGATTGATGCTGAAAGCCGCCATTGCTTGGAGTGGAAGACGAAGGCATGTGGGCCATTAGTGATATCAAAAGGAAGGCCACTGGGGGCCAAAACAGCACAGCTCCGGCGACGAGAATCTGGCTTTGTATGCCTTTACTACTTCACTCTTAAGTAAACAGTGAGTGATCACAGGTCAAGATCTTGATGGGCGCCGACATTCTCTGCGCAGAAACACATCACGGCATCCTCCGGGATGTCCGCCCGATAATTTCGTCTCATCATCATCCTATGCTAAGAAGGACGTCGAAGTGCTTCACGCAGACAGTATCGGCGGCTCGTTAACGTGGATCGAGATGCTTAGGTTTCTCTAAAGAGGTACTTTGGTTTATTACTGTAGAAATCAATCTGACTAATTAGTTAACTTTAGTATTTTGATCCATATAATTTTAAAAATTATATTAAGATATTTATAAAAATAAAATATTTAATATCGTTTTTTCCGTCGATTTTGTTGATGAAAATATCATACATATTATCATATGTCAAAAATAATATTAAAATATAATTAAAATATAATTTTAAAATATAATTTTCATCGATATTAATTTTTTCTTCTATAATTTATGTGAAAACGTTTTTCTTTTCTGACTTCATTCAAAACTCTTAAATAAACTATTTTATAAAAAAATATAATAAGGGCTGATTTAAGGTTTGTAAGTGATCGAACTAATTAAAACTTAATTATACTATCTTTGAATATAATTATAATATCTTCGTTCTGCTGCTCTCTTGTTGTGCGCCACGCCAGCTTGTAGTATCTTAAGTCGTCACGAATTTAGCGGTTTTTGATCTCGAGACGAGGCCAAGCATGCGTCGAGGGGTTCGTACGCTGAGTCGTCCTCCGAGTCGGACCGGAAAACCCCTTCTCCCTTCGAACCCTCGAAACCTCGGCGCAACTCGACCATGCTCGGGAGGTCGCTCACCTTAGCCCGCCGCCGCGCACCCCGTCTCCCTATCCCCTCCTCCTCGCCTCGCTCTCTCTCCGGCTCCCTCGACCCCGATCTTGGACTCCCCGATGAGGTCGCCGACGCCCCAGCAAAGCCGACACCACCGCCGATCGAGCCCTCGGCCGAGGCCGATGCCCTTGCCCGCCTCCTCCTTCAGCACCACAACCCCTTCCATGCCATGGAGTCCCCACTCCAGCTCGCCGGTGTGGGCCTCTCCGATTCCCTCGTCCTACAGACCCTCCTCCGCCTCCGCCACGCCTCCAAGGTCGCCCTCGGCTTCTTCGTCTGGGCTCGCGACCACGCCCACCACCAGCACGCCTCCGATGCCTATGGCCTCATGGTCGATATCCTCGGCAAGGTCCGGCAGTTCGATGTCGCGTGGCAGATGATCATTGAGATGGACCAGCGCGGCGTCGGGCCGACCCCGAGGACGTTCGCTGTGCTCGTGCGGCGGTACGTGGCTGCCGGGATGGCGCAACAGGCCATCAGAACCTTCGACGACATGGAGGCGTTTGTGGGGAGGGAACCCAACGGGGAGGAGTTCAAGATGCTCCTCGACACCCTCTGCAAGTATGGCTACCCTAAGGTGTTACCTTTATCTTTTTCTTCCACATTTCTTTTCTGAGCATGTGTTTCTTTTGCAAGGATATAGTTTTGATTGATCTATAAAAATATATACTTCTTTTGGTTTTTGATGCTACCGCATTGATGAACAGGTGAGTTGTTTTAGATTATCAAATTCCTTCAGACTAACACTGCATCAGTGTTAGATTAAGCTAACACCTTATGCACTGAGATTTTTTCCATTGCAATGCTGTAAGAAATTGTTTGCATCTTAATATATTTATGGGATGTAGCATATTGTCATTTGATGATAAACAGGGATGATTTTGCTGATGCACATGGTTGGATTTATTCGCATTAAGAAGAACGTTTTTGGCGATTGTTTCCTTTGTGACCTGGTTTAGTCTCAATAACAGCCTCTCTAATATAAAGATACGAACATTGACCTATCCCATATTACCGGTAGTCTCGGGAACACCCTCTTTCTTTCAATAGCCATTGTTATATGTTGCATTTCAGAGTTATAAACTATCATTATTGCATGACATTTTAATATAACATCGTTGGGTTTTTTTTCTTTTCCAAAACACTCTTGCTTCACACCAATTCATCTTTTAAGTAGAAAGACTGAATGTTCCTGTCACATCCATTTTACTTCAGTTGGTTTGATGTTCTCGTTTCTGTCTCTTTCTCACTCTCTCATCTTCATAATAGACTCTGATTATTATTTTAATTATTTTTCCAGAAAAACTTGCATGTTAAGCAACAGAAGCATGCAGGTTATTGTAGCAGCCAATCTGTGTTCAAAAATTACAGGGTCCGTGTTTGACACGAATCAGGTTGGCCTGAAATAACAATCTTTTTTGGTATGATGGAGCAATTATATGGTCATAACTGATTCACTATGTATCTTATAACTTGAAGAATTTCACTTATCAGATAGGCACATCCTTCAGTGCTTAGACGCATGATGATCTTGTCCTTCATGATATTTTGAAACTTCTGCTTTTCCATTGTTATCTTCCTTTTGGTTCTTTAAGGGATGATAAAGTTTTTGTTGTTGACTTGAGCTGTTGACATTTTATACTTTTACCTATGTTTCTTCTCCTATTTTATTTGTTTTGTATATTCTTTTCCTAGATACATAACTCTTTGTTGCTTTGCTTATAGAAATTGCAGTATGTATGCCATGAAAACTTTTACCTTCATATGTGAAAATATGCATATCTTTCGTTTTAGAATGTCTATATTTGTTTGGCAAATTAATTGCATTCTTGATTCTGCTAATGGTTGCAGGAAGCAACAGAGTTATTCAATAAGAGGAAATTTAAGTATGAACCTGATGAAAAGACATATGCAATATTGATTTATGGATGGTGTAAGGTAAACCGACATGAAATGGCACAACGGTTTCTAAACGAGATGGTTGATCGTGGGTTAGAACCAAATGTGGTTACGTATAATATTTTGTTGAATGGGATCTGTAGGAGGGCAAGCTTACACCCAGACAATAGGTTTGATAGAACAATCCAAGCTGCCGAGGATCTTTTGAATCAGATGCGCAATAAAGGCATTGAACCTGATACGATAAGCTATTCTATCATCCTTCATGTTTACAGTCGAGCTCATAAACCAGAACTATCTCTTTATATGTTTCGCTCAATGAAAGAGAAGGGAATTTGCCCAACAGTGGCAACATACACATCACTTGTCAAGTGTCTTGCATCATGTGGAAGATTGGAAGAAGCCGAAGAATTGCTTAGTGAGATGGTGCGTGATGGAGTGTGCCCGACTCCAGCTACATATAACTGTTTCTTCAAGGAGTATCGTGGAAGGAAAGACGTGGTTGGTGCTACAAAATTGTACAAGAAAATGAAAGAAATGGGCTTAACAAGTGGGCCAGATATTCATACATATAACATATTACTTGGAATGTTTTCAAAATTAAATCGCATGGAGATTATCTGGGAAATATGGAATGATATGGTTACTAGCGGTACTGGCCCAGATTTGGATTCTTACACCTTGTTAATTCATGGGCTTTGTGATAAGAAAAAGTGGAGGGAAGCTTGCCAGTATTTTATGGAGATGATAGAGAAGGGGTATCTTCCACAAAAGGTCACATTTGAGACACTGTACCGGGGATTGATACAGTCAGATATGTTGAGGACTTGGAGGAGACTAAAGAACAAGGTTGAAGAAGAATCTCTAAAATTTGGTGCTGAATTCCAACATTATCACTTCAAACCTTACAAGAGATAGATCATAATATAAGTCTTACAATGATTCCCTCAGGGAAATATGCCTATGTAGATTGCAATAGATCGGTAAGTTAGTATGTGGCTGAATCATCTTGCTGACAATCTTCTTGAAGCACATGATGTACCATAATGGTAATTATAGGATTTGCTTGTCAGAGAGAGAGAGAGAGAGAGAGAGAGAGAGAGAGAGAGAGAGAGTATTTACTGGAATTATATCATTGATAAAATTTACTGGTGTTATGAATGATTGATCTGTCCAAAAACTTTGTGTTTCGATTTATTTAATATAAGTGCAAAATAAACTGAATTTGGTTGGGGATTTGATGGTGGAAGTGACCAATGACCAATATTAAACTAAACATGGGACTACCTTTACATGACCATTCATCCGGTAGAATGGTATGATCAAGGTCTTTGCCTGACTCTTAACCTTGGCTTGTATCATTACTTCTGAAAGGCAGAGAAGTTCTGCGATTCTCCTACATGAAGATCTTCCACTCCCCTTTTTCACTTATCGAAAGAACTAGACAATGTGTACCATGCTCTTCTGCTGAATTTTCTGTCTGTTATCCGACAAATTTTACATATTTGTGGTTTGAGATTGGATCAGAATGCACATAATTTAAGATCTGATGATGAAAAGGTTGTGCAAGATGTTGTACCAATGTGCACAACCATGGAATTCTTTCATGACATCATTATATATGGAGCGGATGTGTCCAACAGCATATGCAGCCCAAGGGTTTTGCAAATCCACATTGTTTTATTAAGAAAAATCTTGATACTCATACAATTTGAAGGTAAAGGTATGTCGATGCTTAAGCCGCTTATCTGTAATCAGTTTCAGTTAGCGCTGAGTAGCTCCAAGAGGCAAAGGCAATTACAGTTGATAAAAAATCGTTCCTGTTTACATGGTATGAAATCTGACAATCCTGACTGATTAGTTTTAGCAGTTCTTGGCTGCTTATCACCACACAGTTGCAGATGGCATAATCTTGCTCTGTCAGTTCAACCATTGCATCTCTCTTCTTGGCTGGGGCAGTGTCACTGGTGATAAAATTGCTTGTTGGATTGCTGAGTGGTTAGAGGCAATAAACATGACGAGTTCATATCGAGGATTTAATAATGTTGGTGGAGTACATGCGGCCCTTCATTTTCCATGTTAGCTTCACTGTATCTGATATCTGTTGAGAAAAGGAGGTTAACTGTCCTTTTTGGAAGTTTCTCTGGGGCTTTTATGATGTGTGTAACAGGAACACATAATTTGGGATCACCCTGGAAGAAAGGACTAGAGAAAATATCAACTGTTGGAATCCTTCAAATTTTGGTTCTTAAACACATGGTCAGATCCCTTATTTGACATATTCCATCTGATTTACTGCAAGTGTTTCGAAGTACATATGATAAACTTATTGCAATGGAGCACCAAACATGCAGGTTAGAGAACAAAGAGAAGATGCCTAAGATGTAGCCGTAACAAAGAGAAGCTACCTGTTTCCAAGGTTTAGTGTAAGGGTGGATTATATCATCAAAACATCCAAGTGGAATGAATGATGTCAATAGCCACTCATGTAGTCAACAAATCTCAGACCACAGACAACTTGAAGATGAGGCGCCCACCTCTGAGTCGAGCACAAATCACGGCTAGTGGGGGATGCCTCAAAAGAATCCCTCGTCAGCCACCTTCCCCAAACATTCTGGGATTTGTCATTGTCCTTCTTCATCCTATGAGCTCTACAGGTAAAAGTGTTTGACCAGCACTGAAGTGTCTGTATCCAGGGCTACAAGTGCGATCACACCACAGAGCTTTTTGTGGTGGATAAGATTAGCGATGTTAACATCTGTAACGTTCTTTGTGCTACTTCTCTGTGGTCAAAATTGTCCGCTACTTAATGTATGAGACATCAGAATGAGGGAGAGAGGATTAGCGATAGTAACAACGGCAACGTTCGAGGGAAAAGGTAATGGTAAGAGATGTTTGAGGTGATCTCGAATGCAGTCATCCTGCAAAGCTCGACCACAACACCGACGTTTAAGCTTCCTGTAGCTATAGAGAGACGATGTTTTATTCTTGGATTTAACTACGTTGGACATCCAACTCGATAGGAAAAGGAGATCATTCTTCCCATGATCAGAAAGAGACGGAAGCTAGAAAACCTCGTTCCAGCCCTTAGTGGCAGTGGATGAGAGTGCTGACCACAGGGAAGTCTTGAGGCGTCATCCATGCGTACTTGAACTTTACAGGAGTACCCTGGGTTACCGGCCGCCCGTCGGCGACGATGCACCTCTCCTCGTCCACCGCTCTGATGGCGCGGCGGTTGACGGCTTCGACGCTGCTGAGGCCGTAGCACCGCAGCACCACCTTGGACTGCGGGCACCTGCACTCGTTGCTCACCAAAACCTGGTACTCCGGTTTCCCTTCCACGGTCGCTCCGGTCTTCCTCTGTCGAATGGCTATGTCGGACACACCGCACGTTGCTCCCAGGCCTGCATCGAGGTGTTGGTGCATATGATGAGAGGCGATACAAGATATGGACTATGGAGAAGCCGACATGTTACCTCTGTGAACGATGCAAAGAAGAAGAAGGGCAAAGAAGAGTCCGAGGGAGTTTGCCATGCTTTCCTCCTGTTACTTGGCTGTAGGCTACAGGTTAGGATGTGGAGACTTATTTATAGAGAGGCATGGAACAGGTTTGGTTTCACTACACTTAAGCCGCTTATAGCTAGAGCATAGGTTTCGTTTGACAACAACATAAACTGCGCTTACCTCTTTAACAAACATTAGGATGGATGAGATGAGAGACTAAACCTAACCAATTGAACATGATAATCATGTCAGAAATAGATGTGATGTGTGACGATCCGATCCGATGAAATGGCTGACATCTGTTGGAGAACCTTATGTCGTGGCCAATGGATCAACATGGCTTGGTCCAATCCCGAGTGCACACAGTCGCTCACATGGATGCTTGAATGGAGGTGGTCGACATCAGATTCGGTCTGGGCTTCGTCTCCAGAATTGATCCGAGGTAGAGCAAGGAGTTGCTCTTCCTCCCCCGTCAAGTTCCTGCACATAGGCTGAAGTCAAGAGGGAGATTTTCCGACTCGACCCCTCCGAAGCAAAAGTCAGTGTTGAATGAGGTTAAGTAGATTTGAAGTGTTCGAGATCCTCCCATTGACGTCGATCAAGGGATTGACTTTTAGATCTGCGAATGAGGGTCGATCGTACGTGATATGTTAATAGCGATCGACTCCTCAAGCGGCTAGCTTGTACCTCCTATGCAAGCATCGATCAATTTGCACGGATCGACGCCACGCGATGTCGTTTCGAGCTTTCTAGAGTGGCTTTGCGCGATGCGGCATCGTCTCGTACGACCTTAGATGGGAACAGGCGATCGTCCCATCCAAATCCGAGATGTCACGTCGACGTAATATACCATATTAATCCTGAGGCTCCATGTTGACGTTGACGTGATTGCTGACTATTATCGTGGGATGGTACTAAAATATGTCCTATCAACTAACATCCATTATGCTCATCTCGTAATATATTCATTAAGTTTTTATAAGTATACTCAAGTCTCAAACAGAGACAAAAACTGGAGTATTACACACTTTCCTATTATCATTGAAGGGATTGATGTCTTTGTTAAGAACCAATGTGGCTTGGAATCAAACGTTATCATGGTACATATGAGACCCAAATAAGGTTGGCTCCATTCTTTCTTACTACACACTGTTAAATCGATTATGATATCATTTGTTAAGATTATTGATCGATTAAATTGTTAACATCTCTTTGTACAAGAAGATTCGCAGAGTTGTTTTCTCGAACTCTAATCCCGAAAACAGCGTCCGGGAAGATCTTGAGGTCCCAAGTGCTCAGCCATGAAGTCTGCAGCTCCATGTCAAGACTGGACTTTTCCTGAATATGACTATAGGTTTCGTTGACCGAGCCATAATTTGATCCGCTACTGCTTTCTGTAAAGTCAACATCATTTATTGCTACCTCCAAATATGACTCGGAAAGAAGCTGTCTCAGTTGGACACGTCATTTCTTTCACCCAAAAACGAAAGATTTCCAAATCATCAAACAAGAAATCACAAAGGATCAAGTTTGTGATTTCCATTACACAAACTTCTACTCGATCGATGCTTGAAATCATCACTCGACCTCTCTTTATTAATCTCATCACCTCCTTTGCCCATCGTCGTCATCACCACCACCACCACCACCACCACACACAAGCTTCGACCTGAGGCATCGGAACAGGTCACCTGCGGCGACATGTCACTTCCCCAAAGCGATCTTCGAGCAATTCATATTAGATTATATAACACAATTAACTTAGGATTAGATATATTAAAAATTAATTAAATTCTGATTAAAATTATATAGTCTTCCAGAAGAGTATATTGACAATCTAGAAGATAAGATTAATGCTTTCTTTCTCTTTTTTTAGTTGCATGCATGTGAATGCACCACTGAAAGGTCGCAGGTAAAGAAGGGAGGAGAGGGGGATGACGACACTTGCCTCGCCGATGCCGGAGGAGGCACCCGTGATGACCACCACCTCGTGGGTCATGTCCTCGGCGAAGGGAGAGGAAAGGAAGGACGACAAAAGCCTGAAGTACTAGGGAGGTAGGACTAGTTCAAGAACCTGTCGATCATATCCATGGCCATGCTGCGAGAGGGAGATCGCAGGTGGCCAGAGACGGTGGATCGAGGAAGAACAAGGGCGAGAAGTCTCGATCACCGACAAATTAGAAGAAGGTGGGTTAAAAAGGCGAGGAGGAGGTGCGTTTCTGGATCCGGAGACAGTTTGAATGGTGTGGGGGGACGCGCCACAGAGAGAAAACTAATAGATTCAATAGGAGAAGGAAAAGCCAACACAGAGACAGACGCCGCCATCCCTGCGGCAGTCTAATTCTAGCTTTTAACCCTCGAGAGATGTACAAGTACGTTCAAATCCCCTCTTTGTCGCTCCGGAAACATTCTGGCACTGCACAGAACCACAAAAATAGGCACAACTGTTCTTCAGAAAAATATAATCGAATTACCTTTCCCGAAAGAATTATAAGCTTATACAGATATTTTATTTGACGCATGACAATTGATTCGTACATGCATAATTGAACTGATGATACCAATAGCCCATCAAATGCTATGTCCATTTACAGATGGCACAGTGGCATACATTCTACATATGGCAACCACAGACGCAGCTCTGCCCTTTGTTCAGCTGCTAGGAGTGAAGTTCATGCAGATTGGGGGATCAATCCTAAAGATCGACAGGATTGCAGATGGAATGGTCCATATTCCATCACCACAAATCAAGCCTGAAGCCACCGCTCCGGCATAGTCTTCAGCCTCTTTCCGGTTCAGCCGTTCCCAGACATACAGTATCACGGTCCCAACGAACATGTCGATCGCAAAATATGCTCCAATGTAGAAAGGCACTGCCATTGCCATCGGTATCGGAATATAACTGGATACATTCTTCGGAGTCACATCCCTCATAAGATTGATCACAAGCGCAGCAACAAAGAACACACAACAGAGCTCCAGGCAGTGCTTTGGCAGCGCTGAGAAGCCTTCGACACCCAAAATAGCCATTTCTCGGTATATGACTGCATATGGAGCCTTGTACACTCCATCAGGGGCTCCGACATCGAAAGCAGTCCAATAGAGCCAGAAAGTGAGAGGAGCTATGATACAACCTAATGCCGTGCCAATCAACTGGGATACAAACATGGATCTAGGAGAGGATAGGGTAAGATAACCTGTCTTGAAATCCTGCATCAGATCGGCAGCGGTAGACACGATGGACATCATAACACCACATGCTGCCAGCCCAGCGATGACACCGCCCTTGCTTCCGACTAGTGAGGCGAAGACGAAAAGTCCGATCTTCCCATAGGTTGATGCAAGGCTCCAATCAGTGAGACCAGTGCCATAGGAATTACAGAAGGCCAGTGCCGGCGCAACAATGTAGCATGCAAGGACTAGGTACCATCTCATCTGCGGAAAGATGCACGGTATCGTTGCAGTGGATATAGCAGCAAGACCAATGTAACCAGAGGCTGCAAACCAGGATGGTATGCTGTCCTTCACAAATGTTTCATTCCGCAGCCTTTCCTCCATTAACAGTTTCGAACTCTCATCATCTACATAGAGCAGAGATCAAGACGTAAAGTTAAAATGTAATATTTTGTGAACATCTGATAATGTGCACAAACTACATGGTAGTAACTGGATCTTCTGTGAAGGATTGGTTTACAGAACATCTGCAGGAAGACTTTTTGGTTACAATCATGTTTACCGTAATTCATCCAATACTGCTCCAAGACAAATATCTTTGAGCAGTGTTTTTCTAAGAACTATTGTCAGGTCAAGTTGTTAGAAGTAAACTCATGTTATATATTACGAAACTCCAGTTGTTTTGTTAGTATGTGGTATGAGCCACTGGTTCTGCATGAAACCAATCTAATAAACAGGCCTTTTTCAATTTCTAATTTCTTCTAGTCTCTTTTTTTTTTTTCATTTTGCAAAGGCACATGGCGAATACAAGATTCTACCTCATAAACTTGCTATCAAAGATCAAGACCTCTAGTTGATATTTTCAGTTCTTTCATTTTGTCGTGTGATGTCCACTAAAGAAGGTTAATATCAAAAATAATTATTATTGTCTCAGTTTTCAGAATAAGTGGGATTATTGTTTATACAGGTTAAAATAAAAAAGTGCATCTATAATACATCAATGAAATAGGTTACCTTGATGAGCCACTACAAGGGGAAGGCTTGTCTGCTTTGAGCACGCATTCAAGAATTCCTTGATAGTTATGATTACTATTTTTATCAAGTTGTAAAGACCATCTCCAAGAATAAGAGAGATAGCAATGAAAACCTGGAACATAGTTAAATTTTGATATTAGAAACTTGAGTAAATGACTACTCATGTAATAGGTTAGACAAAAAACTAGCAAGTCAAAATTTGATAAAATTTAATTCCATTGACATGAAATAATTTTAAAATATATAAAACAAACAAAATCAATATAAGGTCAAAGTACAAGGTCAAAACAACCAAGCGGTGCCACATTTAGAGAAATATATCAAACCTAGGTTCTTGGAGAAAATTGTGGTAAATAATTTGAAGGGAAAATTCCATCTTTATGCCTTGAGATGCAGTTATCAATGGACTTATCACTCTGGAACTTTATATAAGCCCATGTCCCTCGAAGCCTTGAGATGATTTTTCGTTAATTGAAATTCTTACAAGCGATTAATCAAATTCACTCAGCAATAGAAGCTAATGTCCAATCCAGTATACTTGCCTAGCAAGAATGGTCGAACAATAAACTTAATTTATTTATCTTACATCTTATATTGGAAAAGAGACACCATAAAATAGATGTATTAAAAGTATGTTAAATAGGGATACTATGAAATGATGTATGAATATTTCAATAGTGCATGACTTTGAATGTAAGCATTTTAATAAATGTTTTTACTATAAATAAATAGAGATTCATGAAGTTGAGTGTGTAAGAGAATAATTACATTGGAAATTGCCTTGATAAAAGAATTTTTTGTAAGAAAGTTATAGAGCTTTATTTATTCCCTCGACCAATTTCCACCACTCTTCCTCTCTCCTTTTCACTTATAAAACAAATCTACTGAATAAATAAATAAAAACTCTAAGGCCTCTTTGGTAAGCCACATTATGCTACCCATTGAACACCATGTCAGTCTGGTTGGTAGTGTCTTCTAAGAAAGATTTGAAAAACCTAGAAATACTCATGCCAAATTAATCATAAAAATGAGCAATAAAAAATATTATTTAAATTAGTGATGAAAAAAATCAAGAATTGAAGATAAACAACCAACTCTGAGTGTTAAGGGTGCAAATTCTTTTCAGTTCAGCCAGCCTCTCTCATTAATCCAACCACAGGACCAGCTTTACTATAGCAAAGTGTGCCGAACTCTTTACTTGTAATTGTTCTCAATGCCTTAGCACAAAGTTGATGAACATTAATAACAGTTCCATACTTCCATACAAGTCCTACAACATCGAACTCATGTGTTGTTTATATTTTTTAAAGCTTCATATAGATAGGAAATTTCCTCATGACTCTGTAGCAAATATTTAAATTGAACACTAAAATTTTGTCATACCTTATATCCATAGAGGCCTTTAAAGTCATTGCTACCAAGGTTATTTGGATACCAATCCCCAGCTTTTGTGGCGATGAACGGCCAAAGGAAACCCCAAGATATGATAGCTCCAAGTAGGACAGAGCAATTAACAATGTGTGGGCAGATGAGACCGCATCCAACATATGTTGGACTGAAATCAAAGTAAAATCTGCATTGAGGAATGTAAACCATAATCAGATGGAACATAGATGAGTGCTTCCTCTCTGGTATAGAGGTTCTTGCCTGAATTGGATCTCTTTCTAACATTTGCACTACCAAAGAGAATAATTTGAGGTTTAAAAAGAGACATGCAAATCCATTGTCATCCCTCAACAGCCAGCATTATATACAAATATCTAATGTTCTTCTTCTTTATTTGGGTGATGATTCAGGTGAATTGACAAACATTTGGCAGGCAAGATTCTTTGGATCCTCAATCAGTATAGCAAATAACATACTTTAATGCAAGTTTCACATTTAATTTTCTGTTAGCTCGATGAACAAATAAAAGAGTACTAAAACCACATGATGTTTTGTGTCTAAGCTTTTTAAATGTTATAAATCATGTTCATCAAAGTAGAAACTCAATATTTAAATTTTCATTTGACACGATCAAAAACTTGATTGTAGCAATGTAATATGTTGCATCAACTCTCCTTTACCCTTCCCTCCTCTCCCACATGCATCGAAGCACACACAGTCACAGTACATAATTGCAAAAGTAAATATTACGATTTGCAGTGGTGTATACGCAAAGCCCTACATCAAACAGTTTTTTAGTCATAAATTCTCCAAATTTTCAGTTAAGGTGAAACAAGAAAGAAAAGATTCTTACATGGAAAAAACAGATATGTTAAAGTCAATTCATATATAAACTAGCTAAGATATTCTACTAAACAAAGACCAAGACACAAGCATAAGATCAAAGCCATTGACGATGCAGCCAGAAAATCCAATGTTTCTCCATGTACTTTCACTTAGCAAATGCAAAGAAAAAATAATGACAAAAGTTGAGGCAGAAACACTTACGTGTTCTTAAATGCTGCAAGTCCGAGGCTGGGAAAATTGTCAAAGCCGCAGGAATCTCCTACACCACTGAAGAACCATTTAAAGCAACTCCAGAAGAAACTTATGCTCAGATACTTTCCCAGGCAACGAACTTGTTTCCTGCAGTATATCACATAATAATCAACATGTCTAGCTAATGAAAATTATGGAGTTCATGTTACTAGAGAAGTTATCTTCTTGTTTCTGCATGTTGCAACTTAACTGTGGAAGGAACTAAAAAACCTAAACCAATATAGCAACAACTATTAATATTATTTCTCCCCTTGATTTGGAGGATGAATTGATTGAATACCCGAGAACCATAATCTTTCAAATGGACAGCTTCTGCGATGATGGATAGGGGTCAGGTTTGGCATCTATGCCCCCTGCACCCAAAACAGTATGAGAGCCTTTCAGCTCGTGCTGCTCACACTCCTAGATCTTAACGGTGGTACCTCTGCTACCATAGTGTGAGCTGGGAGAAGCTCCGAAAATCCCAGCCTACTTAAAAAATGAGCTTGAAAGTTGATCATACAGCATAAAGAAGCCAATCACCACTTTACCATACAAAGGAAGAGGAGAAAATCAAACAATGTGTCTGGATTATTAATTTCAAATTTTGATTAGCACATCTACCTTGCAAGCATCCTCTGTCATGGGTCAGAAGAAAAATGATGGCATTCTCATGGAACACCTTCTTTGTAGAAAAATAATGGCATATTTTCTTTTCAAACATATAGTGTTTGCAGCAGATAACACTACGATCCTTTTCTTGGTTGCAGCTTTAACATTTTGATGGATGTTTCTCTTACTCAAGGCAAGAGTTACTATCTTAAACAATCTCATCAACAATTTCAACGTTGACTATAAAGTTCTTGGAAGCAGTTAGCTACTATTCTGTGTTCTCCCAGCAAATCCATTTCATATCTTAATGTCATTAAGATATGGATCTTAATAAACTTATCAATACTAGCAAACAACCTTGCAAGAATTTTTTTTAATAAAAACCAAACTTCAGAGTAAATCAAATAAGCTACCAAAATTTCCCAGTGGAAGCTTTGTTCGTATTGCTTTCTAGAATGTTTGAGATGTTTCTGAGGCCATTTAGTGCATGAAAGTCATGTCTTAATGTCATTAGATATGGATCTTAATTAACTTATCATTACTACTTAACAACCTTGCAAGAATTTTTTTTAAAAAAACCAAACTTCAGAGAAAATCAAATAAGCCACCAAAATTTCCCAGTGGAAGCTTTGTTTATATTGCTTTCTAGAATGTTTGAGATGTTTCTGAGGCCATTTAGTGCATGAAAGTCATATCAAATGAAAGAATAAAAAAATCATACATTTACATTATTTATCTTGTGCCTGAATAGCACTCAACATAGTTAATCTCAAGCTAGATGCACAAGGAAATAGATATACCCAGCAAGCTCTGCTCCTGTAGTAGTGTGAAAACTGTTTATCAACAAAGCTGTAGCAGTCCCACTAGGATATGTAAGCTTGTAGTCAATTACCATAACCTGCAACATCATAACAAGTAAATATATGGGAATGATACTTTATTAATGTCAATAAAACCTTTAAAGAAAAGGTTTAAACACCACTTGAGATGGGACATACTAAATTTCTAAATGATTAAAACCTCTGGTATTCATCAAGCAATAGATGTTTTTTTGGCTGAAAGCAATAGATGATTGTTGATTTTAGAAACTTATAGGCATTAGACAACAAAGAAGTTGACATGAGAAAGGGTCTAAGTAACCGTTATGAGATCTACTCTCACAAATGAGGTTCAAGGATAATCACCCTGAGCTTTCTCTCACCTTTTATAAAATGATACTTACAATGTATTGATTTGTGTTGAACTAAATTGGTTTCCCCAAAGGTAGAAAAAAATAATAATATAAAGCTTCTTTAAGCTGCCAAACGAAAATTTTATTCAGTCTCTGTATCAAGAAACCAGAGAGCTTGTAAGACCAAACAGTTATAAGGCTTTTCAACAACAGTACTTAGTGACCATTTATTCATCTTATCAGGTTCTTGTTGTCCAAAAGAAACTTCAAGGCTAGCAGATAACAACTGATTAGAACTTTATTCTATGCAAACAAAAGAAAATCCAACAGTGCATTGGACTAAGAAATTGTAAAGTGAAAGTTAAGATAGTAAATCCAAATGTTGAAATTTGCATTTTGGCATAAAAGTTTTTCAGCAAAATAGTAAACTGCAATAATACATCAATACAATTCCTAACTAATTGTCTTACGCAATTTCCAAAACAATACCAAATTATATATATCTCTGCTATGATGACAGGTTCAATGTCATACATCTCCATATTCCTTGCGTACTACATTCTAGCCAAGCTATTGGATTGATGAATAAACTTGTACAAACATGTCTATATTTACTGCAGACAGAAACCTAATTATACATTTAGTTATTAAGTTCATTTCAAACATATGTAATCTAATTACGGAGAGGTTTCATGGCTTCAACAACCTAAATTTAATCCATGTACATAAATACTTCATATGAAACACTAAAAGCTAAAACTAATCCATTTTCAAATATATTAAGTTTGTCTATGACAGACAGAAATTTATGAAATGAAATCACTGGTCAATTTCAATACTAATAAAACTCTATATTACCTTGCATGTTAATGTCTCTTTTTCTTAAAGCTTATTCGTTTTGGTCAATGGAAAAAGTAAGGAAAAGAAGGGTCAATACAGGTAATCATTGTTAGAAAATATATTTTCTAATTCCTAAGTATGTATACTTTGTCATGTTGATAGTTGAATGTTCTAGTATTTTTCTTCATGCAGAATAGATGAAATATGGACAATAAAGATGAAGCATGAAGCTCCTCGGCATTGGTTTGGGCATAACAGAAGTAAAAAAAAAAACATTTGAAATGCCAATTAGAGCTACTGGAGGGAAAAGATCCATGTAACCAACCCCAAAAAGTTGGAACATTGTTGAACCATATAAAGCTAAAAAGTTATACATTCTATACAGAGAGAGATATCCACTTAGTCGTAGCAATCATTGAGTGTGATAGTTAATCAGTCCTACCTAGACTCGGTGATGACAACAACAGAATGACAAATATGCTTCTAGTCACAAAACGCTTCTTGATGAATCCAAATTAAGTCAATTTGAGAATCTACAGGGCCTATTCCAGCCTAAAACCACCTTTGATCAATTTGTGATCCAAGCTGGGTCTCTTTAGTCATCATGTGGTATTTAACACAACTAAAATTAAAGCAACGATTTGATCTCCTTCTTCAATCCTGAACTGGACCCAATTGCAGAAACCTTGTATCGACTAATTTATATCTGTCTTGCTGCTAACTTTCGTTCTGTTTTATCTGAGAGCTCTTTACCAATATTTGATTCCTTAGTTATGGGAATAACTATGTAGAACGTCAGATGTGTATGGAACCAAAGCAAAAGCAGCACTGCTTTATTTACCTACCTCAGTCAACAAATTGGTGGTGGAATACGTTAACAGAAAAATGATGATCAGAAGCTAACATGATCCATGAAACATATTCCAACATAAAGCATATTTCACTGCAACAAATCCCAACTAACATTATACATAGAATGCATCCAACAACACAACTAAGTTCTAGTACCAAATTCCGATAAAATTATAGCTGCAAATACCTTACGTAGTGCCACGAGGCTAAAAAGCCCGAGGAAACTCACAACAAACATGAAACCAATCATCCAACTCAAGGAAGGATTTTTAACATCTTCTGCTCTGTTACCAGGATAATCAGCTCCTATGAGTTCATACGTCCTTTGATCCATTGAAAGCATATACGACCCAAACCCCCCTGTGAAGGAGATGTTGGTTAATAGTTATACTTAACTGAAATGTTAACCCATAAACCACAATCACAAGGATCAACTGTGCCATTCAACAGCTAACACAGAACTTTAGAAGATTGTGATAGCCCCAGAAACATATTAACCATACGAACCAACAACGTAGCCTCATCACAAAACAACACCAATCACCGGATGCATCGCCAAGATCAACGAGAACGTGAAAAGAAAGCAGGGGAGAAATAAAAGCCCTATTTCTGCAAATTCGACACGCGACGAAAAAGGAACAACAAATCCCAATACAGAAACGATATTAGCAGTTACCACTGAAGGCCAATCCATAGCAGGCCACGACGCAAGTTTGGATCACCGTGTTCTCCTGCCTCGTGAAGGGCGTCGCCGAGACTCCAATCCTCGATGCAAGCTCGGTCCAGCTCTTGATGAAGAAGAACCCCAAGAGGCCAGCGGCTACGTTGAGCGACGGGATCACTCCCACCGTGAGATTGAGCTTGTGGGTGATGATGCAGAACAGAGCCCCCAGGAGGGTACTCACAAGCAAGCCCCTGACGGTGATCTGCTCCCTCCAAGGTGGGATCTTTTCAGCGTGTACGAGTTCCCCCGTCTTCTCCGGCGGCAGGAGTGGCTCCGAGATCTCCACCGCGGAGCCCACCTCCATTCCCATCGCTTCGCCGGTGATGAGCGGGGTCAGTGGAGAAATCGATGGGGAAGGGGGAATCGATAGGACGGTTGTGGGGGTTTCCTCGGAACAGAGCGTAGCAGCGGCGTAAGGAAAGACGGAACACGATTGGTCCTTCTGGCGGTCGACGTCACGGCTGAACCGGTCATTGTCAGCGTTTCCGTTTGGCTGGTAGTTGGTCGTGTGGTGACTCATCCGGTACTGTTACCGAATAATGATTGAGGCTCTTTGTTTCATACTTTGTGATGAAACCAATCGTCTAAACGACGCAGAGACGGTGATGATACCGTCCAATATTTCATCCTCATCTACAAATAATAATAATAAAGCTTTGACGACCAAATTATATTAAAAATTAAATAGTAAATAATTTAGGAACTTGAACGATTTTGATGGATAGACCTATGTTTTTGCTACATTACTTGCATCAATATCCAGCTGACCATTCACAAAAAGTTGCAACAGAACTAAGATTATATTGTCATTTAGCTCGTATTAGTAGCATCTAAGCTTTCTCATAATCATAATTTGAAGGAGTTTAAAATACCTCAAATGTATGTCAAGCAGGCAATTTGTTTATCGCTTTTTCTAAGCTAACTTGACGTCGACTCCACGTCGATAGCTTTGCACAAACACCTTTATCTTTTGATGGATGTGAAAGGCCAAGCTATCCATACACTATATTTGGGAATAGGAGTCGGCGGTCAAAGAAATAAACGAGGTGGACCTGCCAAATAAATGTAAGCATCGATGGGAGGGTGATGGCATAACCACATGACTCATTAGAACTAAAATATACATATTCACTAAACTATACATGATGAAGTCGAGAATATCCTTAGTAGAGATCTAATATTGATTTGATGAATCACACATGATAAGAAGTGGAGTCTTCACCCTAAACATACTATTCTGACGATGATTAAGATTCATTTAACCTAAAGAATCTACATCTTCTAAAACCGATAAGAACAACATGAAGAACGTATTGAGCAAGCACAAGTCACTAAATAACTACTTTAGCATGGAAACCAATTCACTAGTGCAGCAGCAAAGGAATGGTAGCTGGTGCCTGGTCGGTCAGCGGAAGTGTAGGGAAGTAGATATGACAAGCAATCGGGAAATAAGAGGGCACCGAGTTACTACTTGATTACCACTAAAAGCAAGCATGTAGCAGGTCACAATGGAGGTCTGGACCATGGTGTTCTCCTGCTTGGTGAAGGCAGTAACCTCGAATCCCAGCTTCTCGAGAGTGCGCGTCCACAGGGAAATGAAGAAGTAGGAGAGGAGTCCAGAAGCCAGGTTGATGGACGGCGCCAGGCCTACCCTCAGATTGAAGTGGTGTTCGACGATGCAGAAGAAGGTCCCTAACATGGCTCCCACCACCACCCCTCTCACCGTTATCTGCTGCTCCCATGGAGGGATCTCGTCCGCCGGAGGTTCTGCTACGCCTTCTGTGTTGGTCGGGCAATGATCGGAAAGCTCAGTTGCACTCGCGCTTTGCATCTCTCCTTGACCACGCATGTCCGTGAACTCTTGGATGGAGGAAACTCCACCGCTGCAGCATAATTAGTGGTTGTGGTGATGCAAAACAGCCTCCCAAGCAAAGTTGGTAGGGATCACCCATTAGGATTACTGGATCACGAAGTAAGATTATACACTAGTGATATGCAACTTAGTCGGCAGTTGTGTGACTACGACATTAATTAGCATATTTGGCTGAAAAGAATAGGATGTGGTACCAACTCATTCATATTGGAAAATTATAATGTCCTTTTAATGTATATACACTTTAAAATATGAAGAAAAAGATACATTTGCACTTATACATTTTGATATAACTTATATGTTCCATCCAAATACTATGATCCTCCACATATGCTCCTTCCAATAACTTTCAACCCAAAAAATAATAATATTATTAATTAATTCAATAAATTTCACCCAAAATTCTTTTGATCAATATTCCCATACAAGAACTTAATAACTCAAACTTTATTATTTGTTAATACTATTTTGCAAATCCCAAAGCCCCCCAAAGGAGAAATGTTGTAAGATGTAATCGTCAGTGGATCCTTTGAGCAATGGTAGATGCTTTGAATGATTAACCAATGGGTGGGCCGTCGTCTTGGTGAGGGATCGATGTAGGAAGGAATCTTCTCTCCATACGCGACGTCTCTTGCGATGACTTGCAGGCAATGATTGCGCAGCGTATCACAGGCGTCTCAGCGGACTTCTGCATCTTTCCCAACCTACCTACGTTGGCCTGCTTCCCACTCGCCTTGTTTGCTTCGCTGACGTCCATGACAAGGTAGTATTCCCATTGGGAATACATGTCTTCGTACAGCGCAACTGTGGCCGTGGATGAGGAAGACCATAAAAGATGGCCAGAAACAAAGCAAAAGGGATCCGCTCGGCAAACAAAGATTGTCCCATACGTAGAAGCGGATATTGACCGCATCAGAGATCAGAAAACCAGTGGCAGAAGCACGAGATTCTCGATAGTCGTATATAAAAGCAAGACCGTGGTTTCATATGCTACCGCTGCATCAGGAATTCCACCCACCGTGTATAGCCGAGGTATGGAGCGACGAGCGAGGCTTTGTGTTGTGATGGTCTTGGCGCTTTTTGCAGGTAGTACTGCTGCAGCAGCGAGGAGGCTTCTTCGTGAGGAGCCAAGCTTATCGTCCCGTCATAGGTCGGATGAAGTCGACAACCGTCGACGACTCCTCGTGAACGAAGACGAGGAGATGGAAAGCATAGTGGAGAGCCAGCGTCAGGTTCCCTCCGGTCCAAATCCAAGAGAACCACCGGTTTCCGGTGAGTCGAGAAAACATATCCAGCGTCTGGTTCCTTCAGGTCCGAATCCAGAAGAACCACCGGCTCTGGCCGAAGCAGGTGAACAAGTCAAACGAATCCGTCGTCGTGAACCGAGTAAACAGATCCAGCGTCAGGTCCCAACAGGTCCAAATCCAGAAGAACCGCCGATATCCGACCGAATCCATGTCTGATTAGTTCCGATGAGTCGTCCGCAACTTAGAACTAAAGAAAGCACAATTGCCTACGGCCTGCTGCCTTCAAACTGCGTGCGTGTTCAGTATGACCTACGAATAGCAGACGGTCGAATCAAGTTCTTCTTGCTTGTATCTTTCCTCCATTTGCTAGTATCGTCAGTTGGCATCATGAAACAATTTTCTTTATGTGACGAGTAGGTAACCCTACTTGATGTTGTACGTAAAATGCCTGGAAAGAAACCAATGATATCTATCCAAAGAGCGTGCTTTATTCGTTAGTTGCAAATCTATTAATCTTTTGACTGACAAATTATGTGCATAGATACCGACAGTATCATATGAGCGTATCTAAATTGTTCTTTAGAAGAAGATTTGTCCGTATGGAATGTCCAAAAGGATACTCTTTTCGTTCCAACTTTTCTACTATCAAATCATCAATTCCTCTTCTTTTTTTTCATGCTAACGTTACAGAGAAAGTATCCGTTTCATAGCAAAGGCAAGTCTTCTCTTCGTTCCAATAATCCATATAGAAATATATTTATCTAGAAATTGATTATAACATCATTTCGGAAATTAAAATAACGTTAAAAAAAAGCTTCGTGATTCCATCATCTATTCTTTCGTCATAACATCATCTCATTTAAGGGGAGAGAGAATGTTGATGCCTCAGCATCTTTTGTTAGATTGAGAAGTATCGATATAATATATTAGTGTCTGTCTGTGATTATATATATATACATATCTTGCATTTTCTTGATGCATGATTTGCCAACCATGTTCTTCATTCTTCCATGAAGAAGACCTTGCAATTAGCTGCACCCGTTCATCTTCTTTCCGGCACAGTGACTTGTCCCCGTGAGCTGAGCTCCCTCACCGCTCGGCCTCCTCTCACCACAGTGTGATGGGCTGGGCTTATTAGATCACATGCAGCATGGAGAACGCCATGGTATACCTTGGAAAGCCAAGGCAACAAATTAACATCTTGCATTTAAAACACATTCACTGTTTCCAACCTGAGAACATTCATTATTTACGCTCTTCTGTAAGTATTGGAGTCTCAACCTGGTGTTGCAACATCGCCCAAAACTGTTTAGCTTTTCTACTGAATCAAAGGATTCAAGGATTGATTGATGCATGGAATTATTTATTAGGAAAGATTAAAAATATATTTTTTTAATCATAAATAATTATGTGTAGTCTGGATAGAGGATAGAATGAGGTTTACATATATGTGCTAGGGAGGCTTAAAAGTTGTTGTAATTGAATGATGTGAAACTATTAACAGATACAATGAGAGAGAGAGAGAGAGAGAGAGAGAGAGAGAATGATATTTAGAAAGATCTTACTAAAAAATTTAAATATTTGTAATTTACTTAAGAATATAAATTTTATAAAACTTAAATCGATCTAAAATAATTAAAAGTTTACTATTTTATTGTTATTTGTTGTCGTACTGAATCAAAGGATTACAATTGTCATCTGACTGGTCCAAAGATAACAGTAGAAGTTATGCAAAAGAAAAGAAAAAGGAGAGCAGTAGGAGTGAGAAAGCAGCATTGGAATCATAAGAGATAAGGAGCTAAGAATAAGAAGACAACGGAGCTCATGTTGTGACAAGAGACTCTTTCATGCGCATCTGCTTTTCGACACACATAAATCAAAGGAAGCACATAATTTCCTTTTAATTATACGGAAAATCGAAACAAATGCTGTCCCTGCAATCATTTTAATATAATCAATTCCTGCTTTGTTTTGAATCATCAGCTCAAGCGTGACCATGTGTTTCTTGCTGTAGGAGTAGTCTCATTTCAGCAAAAAGTACAAGTAAAAGACAGTAATTCCATGTTATGATTTACTTTGATGGCAAACTATAGTTAAACCAATAAAAAAAAAGCCCTCTAATCTCTTAATAAAAATCTCAGGTAATCAGTGATTTTTTGTTTCCTCCAAAAGACAAGCAAACTTATTATCTTCTCTCCCTCCCATGAGAGGAGATCAAAACCTTCAATTTTAATAGAAGGAATATATATATATGTTATACCAAAGTTCATTACTAACTAGGATGCAATATGATTTGCTTCAGCAAGCCATGAACTTGATGATCAGTACATGCTTGTGATTCTATGTATGTAACTGGAAAATATTTGAACTTCATTGATCACTATTCATTCCAAGGCTTGAGATTCAAGATATGAAAATTACAGCATCAGATTTTTTTTTTTTTGTAAACAATTCATAATTATTTTTTTGGGAGACAAAAAAAAAGAAAAGAAAAGGATATGGTGGTTTGACAC